TCACACACACACACACACACACACACACACACACACACATTCTCTCTCATTCTCTCTCTCATTCTCTCTCTCATTCTCTTTTCTCGTCAATCGCACTGAGTAAGCCGTAGTCGCACTTAGCTGTTGCAATGTGCAGAACTGGCCCTAATTGCCGCAGGATCCCCTGCCGGTCGGTAGAGCGGTAGAGCGGTAGAGCCAGTGATCAGCGAGTGAGTCGGCTCGTCTTGCTGCGATGTTCTGTTTTCTTTTTTTTGATTCTTCAGCAGGGGGTAGTCCTAGCCCAATTTTATTTCTTCTGATTCCATGAGGTGTCGAACTCATGACACATACTGACAATTACGTGTGTGCACCATTACCATGCACCCACATGGGCTGCGTTAGTTTTCTTTTTTTGGATATTTCCTCATTTCGCTGCGCGTTAGATGCGAGCGAACATGCGGTACTGAAGATGAAGAGTAGGGGTAGGGGTAGGGGTAGGGGTAGGAAAGGGGAGAGAAAGGGAGGCCATGTGCGTTTGCCGAGATGATGGACGTGCGGTGCCAACGAAGACGAAGAAGAGTAAGAAAAAGAGGTGGAGGGAAGAAAAGAAGATAGGCGAAGAATAGGAAGGAGGACGTGCGGTGCTGAAGAAGAGGAAGAGGAAGACGAAGAAGAACGAACGAAACAATAATGGCGAGGGCAATCACCATTACGTGTCCACGCTTGCAAGTATTCAATAGCCTGCATGGACATGAAAGCTGACAAACGCGCAAGAAGAAGAAGAAGAGGAAGAGGAAGAGGAAGAGGAAGAGGAAGAAGAAAATTAGTGAAGACCGTGGCCATAGACTGCTTCTCGTACATGCAACCTCAGATAAAGACTTTGGCATGTACAGTTCTCAGTGAAAACGCGCATATTGTCCCTTGGACATCCGTTAAAATTGGAACGATACAGAGAATGAAGATTAGCGTGGCCCCTGCGCTTTCAAGGATGACACGCATAAATCGAACAAAAAAAAACAAACAAAAAAAAACGGCTGTGTTCTCCGAGGGGTCTCGGCGACAGCTGGAAGTCCTACATGCTTGTCAAGCAAATGATCACAAACCCGCAAGTACAAACTCTCGGAGACGCGCAAATCCCCCCGGGCCATGGATCGACCAGGTTGCGCTCCTGGTACTCTTCACGGGACATTCAGCTGACCCGCGTCGATGATGGTTCCAACTAACCATCATCGACTATTGAGAGAGAGAGAGGGCCATTGGTCTGGCCCTGTCTATGCCAAGCCACCATGACGATGCTGGGAATTTCCGTTGAGCGTCTATGCGGAACTCGGATTTCGTTAAAAGTCGAAATATGCCATGTCTTGTTTCTGCAAATTTAAAATAACGGAGTAACTGTTTCCTTAAAAAATAAATAAAAAAATAACGGTGTTTCCTTTAATTAAAAAAAAAAGGAGGAGAAGAGGAGAAGAGAGGAAGAAGAGGAGAGAGAAGAAGGAAGGGAGGGAAAAAAAAAAAAAAAAAAAAAACAAGCCCGGAAACTCTGCCATTTCGAAAAGACTCTTGATCCACACGGCGACGCTACCGGTAGTTCGAATTCGATTTTCCACCTGATAGTCTAATTCAGACGGCCTGCCCTTCTTCACCTGAATACAGCGTACGGTCATTCTTGCTGTATTTAGACTGACAGATACCCCAAATACATACATACGTACAGCTATAATAACCGTACGTTGTTGTATTCGGGTGAAGAAGAGTAGTCGGAATTCCGAGGGTGCTAACCGGGGGCAAGGTTTCACTTGCGCAAATTAGGATATTTCGGCCGTTGATCTTTGCTATCTACGGTCAGTATTTCTTAATTCGTGCAAGTGGGACCTAGCCCCGGTAGGCGCGGGTGGAATGATTTCCGTCTTCGCACATACGGCACCGGGAGAAAGAAGAAAAAGAAGGAAAAGAAGGAAAAAAAAAAAAAAAGAGAACAGCGAGGCCAATCACTGACCATCCGTCTTTTTCCCTCTCCTTCCTTCCACCTATCTTCAAGATGCATTTGTCATGCGTGTCTGCTTTGTCCTTTGTTGTCTCTGATTCATTGCTTCGCATCATCGTAAGGACCTTCACTGAGAGAAAAAAGAACCCCCCCCCCAAAAAAAAAAGGTTCCGTCAAAACGCGGAAAAAGGAGCCAGAAAGAAGAAAGAAGAGTGGTAAGCAATGGCCAAGCAATGGGCAAGCAATGACCAAACCATTCAGCTCTCAAAAAGGATCTGCCTGTCACTGTTTTTTTTTTTTTTTTTCCTTGCGTGTTTGAGCTTAGCTGTGTTCCTGTCGGGTTCTGTAGTCTTGAGATCTTTGCTTCTTCCTTGATCTGAAACGGCGAAACTTAGGGCCTCGACACACTACAGTAACTCCCGACTTGGCCATTTTCGGGAGTGCAGCATCATCGCCACACCAGCTCCCGACTTCATTCAACCTGTCAGATTGAATTCGGGAGCTGCTGTCAGAATTCGGCTCCCGAGAGCACTCCAGAACCCACCCACCGCCTGCAAATCTTCGTTTTTCGAGAGACCTCCTTCCCTCCGCCGAAGAGTTTCATCCCAGATTTGGGAGTGCAGGTGGAAGGAACAAACGGACTTCTGCCAGACTGCTTCACACTGATCGTGTCCACACGGATGTGGCAACTGACATTTTCAGATTTCACACTTGGAGCGCGGCCGAACGAGAGTGTAGTGTGGCGAAGGGCACTCTCGAGCCGGTTGTCACTCTCGGAAGCACACTCCCGAAAAACTTTTCCCAAGGTCCTTCGAGACATCCGTTAAAATTTGAACGATACAGAGAAGATTAGCATGGCCCCTGCGCTTTCAAGGATGCTCGACATGCACAAAGTACAAAAATCGTGGCGGTGCATCTTTCCATACTCTAGCGGAAGATTCACTCTCGTTTTGCACATTTCGAGAGTAGTGCAGCGAGGCCCGATGACACGCATAAATCGAGAAATGGTCCGAAAACTTTTCCCAAGTGGAGAGTGGTGTGGCGACGGCCTTACTGTGACTCTGCATGACATAAGCCCCGCCCCAATACGTCGCGCCTTTGAGGTGGGACGCAGTCGCGGTTTTCTTTTTTTTCGCTGCTTGTTTGTATGTAGAGTCCGGCGCAGTCGCAGTTTTTATTTCACAGTTTTTTTTTTTTTTTTTCGCAGTTTTTTTTTTTTTCGCAGTTTTTTTTTTTTTTGCATATTTTTTTTTTTTACGTAGTTTTTTTTTTTTCGGAGTTTTTTATTAGCATATTTTTTCGCATATTTTTTCGCATTTTTTTTTCGATTTTTTTTTTCCGCATTTTTTTTTCCGTATTTTTTTTTCGCATTTTTTTGTTTGCATTTTTTTTTTTTCGCAGTTTTTCATTTGGCAGTCGCACTTTGTGTGTAGACTACGGGGAGTAGGATTTACTGACGAGCTCGTCGAGGGCCTCGGTGTCGTTCGTTGTGTTTGATGATAACTTTATGAAGAGTTGGAGTTGGATGGATGCATATTTGTTTCCAAGTCCGTGTGATGCATCTGCGAGAGGCCAATTAGTCGCACGCTCGCGGATTTAAAAATGGAGATTTAGTTATTTATCGAAACGCATATATATCATGCATCTGTGAGCGTCCGATTAATCGCACGCTCACGGATTTAAATTTAGATTTAGTTATTTATGAGCTCCAGAGATCGAAACGCATACATCGTCAAACGGAATTTGCCCATAAAGAGATGGAGAAGAGGACAAGAAACGAGGGGCGGCTGTGGCGGACTGTTTAGTAGGGGAGCTCCACTGACTCCTCAGGAGAAGGATG